TAGTCTACGATGTTAATGATCGCGAAACATTCTTTCATATTGAAAATTGGCTACAGGAAGTTTCTCGTTACGCTGCTAGCGATGTCAATAGAGTTCTAGTTGGGAATAAATGTGATATATTAAACAAGAGAGAAGTGGAATACGAAACTGCTCGTGTTTATGCAGAGAAATTAGGAGTATCGTTCACAGAAGCCAGTGCAAAAGATCGCACAAATATTGATAAGGTTTTCAATATCATGGCAAAAGAGCTTGTTGAGCAATTAGGAGAGAATAAGGATGCGTTGCCTATTGAAGATGACAAGGTCGAACTTAGCGCTGGAACAGAAGTGTCTAATGGTGGTTATCGATGTTGTGGGTTTGGCTAGGTTTTATCCAAGACAGAATTTTGCTATACGATTTCTCGCCACGTACATTGTTTACTTTAATTTAATAGCTTTCTGTTCTAATCGGGATTGTTGAATTTTTAATTCGTATTCATGCGTGTTACTTTCAGTTTATGCTAGCCATGCCGGCCAAAGGTCGGAAGGGTTAAATATTTTTCTGAAGATAAAATTTGATTGAAATATGAGTGAAATCCAAGTTAGAGACTCAAATATTAATTTTGTCCATTTCTGCCAAGTAATTTTGTTTACTTAGCTTGAATAGCTTCCTATGCACAAACGACTTCGTTTCGTAATCTATACGATAGTTTGGACTTTGTGGCGAAAGTTACAAGGTAAATAGGTAATATTTTACTGAAGACAAAATTGGTTCACTGAATAGGGTCTGAATTAAATGCCAAAGCGATTGAGGATTGAATCATGAATTTTCTTCTCTCGCCACTGACGTAGTTTGTCTATTTTGGGTTAGACGTAAAGTAGTTTCGTAACGTGTATTTGTAAACGTATAGTTGTAGTTGTGCTGATAAGACTTAGAACGTAGACTTTTATACGATGCATTGTACGTATTTTGTGTGTAAAATTGCTACAAATACAAATGTTAATAATTTATTAGAATAACAATTAGAATCAATAACTATCTGTTATATATGGTTTGTTGTGTTCTCATCCCCACATGATAGATAATTGCTGGATATGGAATCTATATTAAGAGATTAATACCGGAAACCACAAATTTGCACATAAATTAGTACTTTAGACCTGTCTTCCATAGATTTTTAAGATAATATCAGATCATTTTATTAACCCCCAAAGGCTAAACGACTAAACATTCCATAATATAATCTTTTCCGTGATTAGGTTCAGTGTTGTTTTGATAGAGTCAGCCTTCAGTTATTTTTTTTCATTCAAATATTAATAGTTTGTGTAGGATGGTTAGCACTATTTTCCATCCAGCAAACTGACCTGACGTCATTTTCGGAAAATGGAAGAGGTGTTAAATGGCTATGTAACAAACCCTACCCCTACTCTAACCCCTAACCGCAACCCTAATTCTAACCGAATTAATAAGAGAAAATCCAAAAAGAAAGACTTTAGAAAATCGATAGGGCGGTTTGCTGGATGGAAAATAGTGCTAACCAGATAAAGGATATCAAAGTAGAGCCGAACTTTCAGATCCTGGTTTCCATATGGTCGTAAATATAGAGTGACGCGATCTTTCTAAACGGTCAGTTTATAATAGTTTATACCTGTAAACCACATATAAATAATAAGTATTCTCTACTTATAATCACTCCGTGCATTTTCTGTTCTAAAATGTTGTATTTCGGCTGATGAGAAGATCGTGACTCAATCTTTACGACCGTTACGACCATATAGAAACCACGCTTTAGTCCTAATACGTCTAATACCGCCTGCTGAGCAGGCAACATTTGGGTTCGGCAGTTGTAGCGCGATATTTGACTTAAACTTGAGATTGAATTAGGCTTCATGACAAATAATGATCAATCGTAACTAGTCATTCTATTTCGTCTGCATGCAAGGGATGTTAATAGCTTTTGCATTATATTTGTAAATATACATGAAGTACTAATTAAAGAACAATTTCACATTATATCTGCTCGGTATCAATAGTAAAGATGAAAGTATCTACAGGTGATGTCAATTTGTTAAATATATTTACATTTTTCTCATAATTCATGCTTATACATGTTTCACAGGTACTTGGAAATTTTGACGTTCTACATTTTCGCCCACGTGACATGTTCTTATATTTTACATTTTTTCGTAAGTCACGCCATGTCCACATGTTCTACATGTCTTTGTCCACGTGTCTGATTCTTCATCGTAAACCTCTCCACCTGCTTCTCCTTCAGCTGGGAAGTCATGCACGTGTTGCGACGAATCTCGTTTCCATGTACTTGTTCTTACTGCACGACGAAGCTCTAAATTGGAAATAGTAGAGTTATTTAGTAATACCAAAGATGGGCCCTTTGGTTGCATAACATTTATCATAACACTGATACTATCCAGTCACAATTCAGTGATCAGAGTGTTTCATTGTCTTTTCATTGTTATGAAGATCCCACTGTTTTCCATGCCATCCAGTCATGATTCAGTGATCAGAATGTTCCATTGTCTTTTCATTGTTTTGAAAATCCCACTGTTCTCCATGCCATCCAGTCATGATCCAGTGATCAGAATGTTCCATTGTCTTTTCATTGTTTTGAAAATCCCACTGTTCTCCATGCCATCCAGTCCTGATCCAGTGATCAGAATGTTCCATTGTTTTGAAAATCTCACTGTTCTCCATGCCATCCAATCATGATACAGTGATCAGAATGTTCCATCGTCTTTTCATTGTTTTGAAAATCCCACTGCTCTCCATACCATCCAGTCATGATCCAGTGATCAAAATGTTGTCTTTTCATTGTTTTGAAAATCCCACTGTTCTCCATGCCATCCAGTCATGATCCAGTGATCAGAATGTTCCATTGTCTTTTCATTGTTTTCAAAATCCCACTGTTCTCCATGCCATCCAGTCATGATCCAGTGATCAGAATGTTGTCTTTTCATTGTTTTGAAAATCCCACTTTTCTCCATGCCATCCAGTCATGATCCAGTGATCAAAATGTTGTCTTTTCATTGTTTTGAAAATCCCACTTTTCTCCATGCCATCCAGTCATGATCCAGTGATCAGAATGTTCCATTGTCTTTTCATTGTTTTCAAAATCCCACTGTTCTCCATACCATCCAGTCATGATCCAGTGATCAAAATGTTTCATTGTCTTTTCATTGTTTGAAAATCCCACTGCTCTCCATACCATCCAGTCATGATCCAGTGATCAAAATGTTGTCTTTTCATTGTTTTGAAAATCCCACTGTTCTCCATGCCATCCAGTCATGATCCAGTGATCAAAATGTTGTCTTTTCATTGTTTTGAAAATCCCACTTTTCTCCATGCCATCCAGTCATGATCCAGTGATCAGAATGTTCCATTGTCTTTTCATTGTTTTCAAAATCCCACTGTTCTCCATGCCATCCAGTCATGATCCAGTGATCAGAATGTTCCATTGTCTTTTCATTGTTCTGAAAACCCATTGTTCTCCATACCATCCAGTCATGATCCAGTAATCAGAATGTTCCATTGTTTTGAAAATTCCACTGTTCTACATGCTATCCAGTCATGATCCAGTGATCAGAATGTTGTCTTTTCATTGTTTTGAAAATCTCACTGTTCTCCATGCCATCCAGTCATGATTTTAATTTGTGACATTGTTGTCAATATGATAAAAAAAAACCCCACAAAAATCTCGTTCACACAAATATAAATTTTCGAATAACAAATTTATTCTTCGTTTAACAATAACTAATTCTAAACATATGCAACAAATCTTTCCGTTTTTTTTACAAATTTTAAAATTTATACAATTGACATTATGTATTTGAAGCAAAGACATTATTTATGCAGTGGTGGATTTAAAGGGGGCGGGGTGCATCCCTGTTGGCCTTGGTCAACAGGGGTGCAAAATTAGATTTATCTTAGAAGTAATTTTAAATGTTTGCAGGTCTTAGACTATTTAGATTAGTTAAGTTTTGGAATTGAAGGCAGCACCTCAGAACCAGTTCAAAATACTAATAACTAAAGTCAAGACCAAATTAATCAAACAAAAATTTTAATTAATAATCTAATATCATGCATAATCTTGTTTGACAATTTAGTACGTTGTCATTAAGTGAATCATTACACAAGCTTAACTATAATATTCTAATGCATTATATATTACATAGTGATATAAATATAGAATAACATTACATAGTGAATTGATATATTTTAGCCTAATATTTATAAATGTTGTCAAATCTTTATTCGGCATTGATGACCTCTTTCTTTAACCGCGAGGCCAAAGCGCGTCTCAACGCCAGTTTCTTTTGTTGCTGTTCGTCGATCTCATTGGCTGGAGGTTTCTCTGCCTCAGTCCCCGCGGTGACTCGGCGCGCCACTCTCGATGACATAGGACGTTTGGGAGCGTCCTCTTCAAAAGTGTTTAGACGTTTCGTACGTTCTTGCTTTTTAAGATTTAGTAACTTTTCTCTTTGCATTCGCATGTATTGTGCCCTCTGTGCAATTTGGTCGTCCATTGAGGCTTGCCCTCCGGCCTGAATTAAAAAAAAACGATTGATATTATCAGACTTGTTGCAAGGTTGTTCCGACAAGTCTGATCGTATGTAACATGTAACAATATTGTTACAACCTTGTGTCGTCAACCTTGTAACATTCTTGCAATATCAAGACTGTATCAGACTTCTTTGTATGTTTGCATGGTGATAAAATATAATAGGTTTTGTTTGTGGAAACACCAGTAATAAATATTGCAGTAATAAATTTACGTGGTGTTTCCACAAACAAAACCTATTGTATCAGACTTGTTAGAACGACCTTGTAACAAGTATGATAATGCCATCAAGCTTGTTACAAGTTGTTAACAGCTTGTTCCAAACTTGTTACAACAACTGGGAACAAGCAGTGCGAACACAACTTGTCGACAGCTTGTGAACAGATTTGTAACAACTTGTTTGTAGACCTGTAATAACTTGTGCGTTATTACGTGTGTAATTGTATCTCATTCAATCAATTACGTACACTGGACCAACAACAGATTACTCTAACTGGACCTCTAGAGAGAGTAGCGTTTAAAATTGATAGAACTGTCCAGTATGAATAAATTGTTCTTGTAGTAACACTGGATCAATAAGAGATGATCCTTACTGGACTTCTAGGAAGAACAGTTTAGAACTGATAGAGCTATCCAGTATAAAGTTAGTTTAGTTTAGGTTTCCTCCTGTAGTAACACTGGATCAATAAGAGATTATCCTTACTGGACCTCTAGGGAGAACAGTTTAGAACTGATAGTGCTATCCAGTATCAATAAAGTTAGTTTAGTTCAAGTTTCCTCCTGTGGATCAATAAGAGATGATTCTTACTGGACCTCTAGGAAGAACAGTTTAGAACTGATAGAACTATCCAGTATAAATAAAGTTAGTTTGGTGCAGGTTTCCTCCTAACACTGGACCTCTAGGAAGAACAGTTTAGAACTGATAGAGCTATCCAGTATAAATAAAGTTAGTTTAGTGCAGGTTTCCTCCTAACACTGGACCTCTAGGAAGAACAGTTTTGAACTGATAGAGATACAGTATCTAGCATGAATGTTAATGTGCTAAATTTACTACCTTCGATGCAGCAGCGATGTTTCCTGAAGGGGTGTTAGCCTCCGCCATGGCACTGCTCAGCCAGTTCTTCGCTGCGTCGGCAGGTGTTTCAGCGGGTTTTCTCAATGCAGGTAGAGGTTCTGTAGTCTTCTCTGTGCGCTTTAGAGCTGCCTTGGATGACCCTGCTGAAGCTAAAAGAAATGCACGATGATCATTGCAGTAACACAGCGGGTGAGTCTGGTTTACAACATCAAAGTTTCTGTGATCACAGTAGGAATTTTGCATAGGTAAATTCTGAGTTTTGAAGAATTTGTAAGAAATGTTTGAGGGAACCAATTAGAAGTTTAACACCGAGTCATTTTGCTAAAACATTTCTTACAAATCCTTCAAAACTTACAACTTACCTATGCAAAATTCCTACTGTGATCACAGAAACTTTGATGATGTACAATACAAGTGATTATATACATTTTAAGACCTGACCATTTTAAGACCTGACTTAAAATGTATATATTCTCACTTGGATTACAAACCCTAACATCCTAATATTAATTCCACCAAGTGAAGTGCAAGAATCTAAGTCATTCAAGTCCACCTTATCACAACCCGCACACCCGATTACCCATATATACATGAACTTACGGTTACAGCTCAACAGCTGGCCTCTGTAGTTCAGTTGGTTAGAGCGCTGCACCGGAATCGCAGGGTCGTAGGTTCAATTCCTACCAGAGGACCTTGTGCTGCATTTTTCGCAGTCGTTCCTGGTCAGGTCTTAAAATGTATATAATCACTTGGATTACAAACCCTAACATTCTAATGTACAATACACCAGGCTAGTCGTTACATCCTGTAATAATAGACTAGCCAAAATAAGTGGTGGGCCTTACTGGAGCTCTAGGGAGAACAGTTTAGATTTGATAAAATTGGTTTCATTAGTTTAGTTTTATCGTACCTGCGCTGGAAACCGGAACGGACTTCGGTTCTTCGTCTTTCGTCTTTTGTTTCGCCGGTTCGGCAACACTTTTAGCTGGTTCTGTCTTTTGGGCAACACTTTTAGCTGGTTCTGTCTTTTGGGCAACACTTTTAGCTGGTTCTGTCTTCTGGGCTTTAGGTTCCTTGGCTGCTGTTGGGGATGCTAAAATGACAAGAAATTATGAGCCAATTTATGCTAGAGATGAATGATCCGTGTGGAAGAACTTGGGAAATGAAATAGTTCATCTGATAATTCGTTTGTTTACAAGTTGTAACAAACCTGCAGCAGACTTGTAGCAATGCTGTTCCAACAACTTGTCAACAGGATGTGTTCGCACTGCTTGTTCCCAGCTTGTTGACAACTTGCTACAAGGTTGTTGAGCTAAACAGACTTGTTACAAGTTGTTCCAACAATTTGTTATCGTCCTGGGGCCGGTTGTATAAAACTCTTAATCACTTTTTTAATCACTGTTTTGTAGTTAAATAGTGATTAACTCTCAAATAGGCGCTTCTTATTGGATGACGTTTGCACTTAATCATAGTTAACTTTAATCACTTTTTTATACAACCGGCCCCTGCAATGCAACAATTTGTCAACAAGTTGTGAGTGAAAACTTTGTGGCAACTTGATAAATTACAACTTGTTGACAAGCTTGCTGCAAGCCTGTTGCGAACACATCTTGTTGACAAGTGAGATTTTTACGTATGTACCCAGTTCGTTTCAAAACCATTACCAGTATAGATGACACTATTCTAGCACGTTTACACACATCAACTGTCGTTTATTTAGAAGTTAAATCCGGCACATTTATAGACATGTGAGTAGGACTCACCCGACTTTGTCTTTTCCTTTGGAGGACTTTTTGTCCCGGATTTACTGGATCTTTGCTTTGTCCTTGGTGACGATACATTGTCTTTCTGTCGAGGGCTTTCAGTTCTCGGCGTTTTCTTAGTGCCAGATTTTTCTGCCGCGGAATTTGCTTCAAGTTTTAAAGTCAATGAAACCATTCTTTCCATGTTCCTAAGTTCATCCTCTGCCTGTTGAAATAACCTGTGGAAGATTCAGAGATATTACGGAATGAAGAGATCAGAAGATGTGGGGTGGTAGACATTGCAGAGAAGGTGAGAGAAGCAAGGTTGAGATGGTATGGACACGTAATAAGAAGAGATGAAGGAGAGCTGGTCAGAGACATTATGGAATGAAGAGATCAGAAGATGTGGGGTGGTAGACATTGCAGAGAAGATGAGAGAAGCAAGGTTGAGATGGTATGAACACGTAATAAGAAGAGATGAAGGAGAGCTGGTCAGAGACATTATGGAATGAAGAGATCAGAAGATGTGGGGTGGTAGACATTGCAGAGAAGATGAGAGAAGCAAGGTTGAGATGGTATGAACACGTAATAAGAAGAGATGAAGGAGAACTGGTCAGAGACATTATGGAATGAAGAGATCAGAAGATGTGGAGTGGTAGACATTGCAGAGAAGGCAAGGGAAGCAAGGTTGAGATGGTATGAACACGTAATAAGAAGAGATGAAGGAGAGCTGGTCAGAGACATTATGGAATGAAGAGATCAGAAGTTGTGGGGTGGTAGACATTGCAGAGAAGGTGAGGGAAACAAGGTTGAGACGGTATGGACATGTAATAAGAAAAGATGAAGGAGAGCTGGTTAGAGATATGGAATGAAGAGATCAGAAGATATGAGGTGGTAGACATTGCAGAGAAGGTGAGGGAAGCAAGGTTGAGATGGTATGGACATGTAATAAGAAGAGATGAAGGAGAGCTGGTCAGAGACATTATGGAATGAAGAGATCAGAAGAAGATGTGGGGTGGTAGACATTGCAGAGAAGGTGAGAGAAGCAAGGTTGAGATGGTATGGACACGTAATAAGAAGAGATAAAGGAGAGCTGGTCAGAGACATTATGGAATGAAGAGATCAGATGAAGATGTGTGGTGGTAGACATTACAGAGAAGATGAGGGAAGCAAGGTTGAGACGGTATGGACATGTAATAAGAAGAGATGAAAGAGAACTGATCAGAGACAATATATAGCCGAAGATAAAGGGGATCAGAGGACTGGTAGAACATAAAAGAGATGGATAAATTCTGTAAAATAAAATCTAAATATGAAGGAGCTATATGGTGTACATGACAAAATGCTAGCCACCTTTCACTCTCTTCCTTCGAAGACAACGCGAGGGTCTTTTCCATTCTTTCGATCTCTTTCTTCCTGTCCTTTTCTTTCCTATATTCCTCTTCAGACAACTTGATCACTTCTTTCAATAATTTCTCTTCGTCATTTTGATGGCCAGATTTCGGAGTTTTGGTGTTTGATTGAACGACTTCTGATTAGAAAATAATTTTGGGATGTTGGTTGTAGAGTATTTAGTGTGTGCTTTAGACTACGTTTACACAAGAACAAAAGTTTCCGGATTTGTAAAAGTATCCGAATTCCTTGTTTTTCAAATATACGGATCCGTGAAGCATTTACACTACACAGCCCGACACAGCGATGGTCAATATAAAGTAAATAATTTTAACCCTCTTAGTGATATTATGCGATGTTTTGACCCTCTTTGGCGGTCGAATAAAAATGTCGAAATAAATTTGGTTGAAATAAATTTGAAATAAAAAGGTCGAAATAAATTTGAAAAACATACACCGGAACAAATTGATTCAGATTTTTTACGGAAAGCCGTTTACACGAGAGTTTTCTCCGGATTCAAATGTTTCCAGATACGAAGTTCCCAGAAACGGGGTCGTAGTGAATGGCGCTCAATTACTGCAATATTTGCTTGTCTGATTATTATTTCAGTCGTTTGTGCGGAGAAGAATGCTTCCAGTTTGACTCTAGCAAACACCACTGAAAAGTTTTCTTCTGGTAGTGCAGTTTCCCGCTGTAGTACGTAACACTGAACTAATAAAAGATGGTCCTTACTGGAGTTCTAGGGAAGACAGAACTGATAAAGCTCTCCAGTCAAAATATCAACTACTGTTATACTTATAGTTTATTTCTGACTCCCTCCTGTAGTAGCAATATTAAATGATTGCTCTAGAGGACAGTTTAGAACTAAATCATTTAACCCTAGTTTACCTGATTCAAAAACCTTGGGTACAACGCCATTTCGTTGTTGAATCATATGTAGCGCTTGAAGTTCAAGATCCAGATTCTTTTTAACCATTATGCTTTTGAATAACTCAAAATCCTCCCCTGCCCAAACTTGTTCAAATATTGACTAATAATGATAGAAATATTACAAATGATTAAATGAATTCACAGTCTTATACTGTGTGATTAAATTAATATTACAGTTGTATATGTCTGATAGACAAGCAGACAACTGAGTGCTAGCAGATGATTTTACTTGTCAAGGGGAGAGTGTTGCCGCTCAATAGGTTAATCAGCTAGCTACTATCTGCCCATGCATCCAGAGTTGAGTGAGTGAGTATTATTAAGACATATTAAGTATTTCAAAATGCCCTGATGCGTCCTACTTTATTATTTTACTCAGTGTCCTAGACCGCAAAGGGGGGGGGGGGGGGG